TGGCAATATTTAATACAGTATCTATTCTAAATTAGTTTCATGTCATGATCACATTTGTTATACCTGAAATTGAGTTTATACACATTAGAGAATGACTGGTAATAGTTGAGCACTTGACAACTGGGTGATGGGGTAGGAGGGGCAGGGCGACATTTTATTATTTCAGAAACATCTTCAAAGCAAAGTTAAAGCTTGTCTTTGATTGGCTTGGCGTATCCTCTTTTTTTTTTTTTTTTTGTATCCATATTTAAACTGAAGATTGACACAGAAAAATACCCAGGGCCCCTTCAGGTTTTGAGGATTTTAAAAAATCAGTTGGAGATTCTTGGGGAGAGTGTCTGCTGCAAAATAAACTTAATGGACACGGGACTTGAGACTGTCCGCCAGGAGTTCTTGGCCGTCAGTCCTGCTTGGGTTGCAGCTGCCGCTTCCAGGCCTCGTTCAAGTACACTAGTCGTTTGTAGTTGACAATGAGGAGGAGGAAGTTCAGCACATATGTGATGAAGCAGATGAGGCAAAACTCCTTGAGCACAAAGTACAGAATGTAGGCCAGGTAGAGGGAGCCCAGGACAGACGCGATGGATGACGTCATGAGGATCAGGGCAGCCACCGCGCTCGCCGTCAGGCCTGCAAGACAAGGGCACACGGGGTTCAGCGGGCTTTCCTCCCCGAGAGTTCCACAGGTCCAGGCCATCACTGGGAGGCTGAGGACTCTCTGAGCTCTTGACAGTGACACTACTGGCCTGTTTCGTTAAGACCATATACGCTGACTCTGCAGTGACGATTCCAGTCAGAGCTACAATCTCTCACTCACTCCATACGCCAGAGGAACGATGATAACTATTTCCTAACTAACATTAGTTCATGGATGTGCACGCACGGAACATGCCATCTTGGAAGAAAGAACGTGAAGACCACTACCTTCTCTTTCAAGGCAGAGACACTGGGAGGGCCCTCACTCCTGCCTTTTCACTCCTACCTATGGAGAGTAAATTTGCTTTTCCATGTTTTGATCAAATTTCTCAAAAATCTATGTTGTTGGGTGCTGTCACATTGATGAGGACTCAGAGTGACCTCATGTGACAGAGGAGAGCCGCCTCGTAGGGTTTTCTAGGCTCTCCTCTTTACGTCTTTCTCCTGGGGAGTTACTGGGTGGGTTCAAACCATCAACCTTCCGGCTGGTGAACATCTGAGCGTTTATAATCATTGCGCCACCAGGGATCCTCAAAAATCCACTATAGTAGGTAATTACACCAACATAGTGTTCAAGTTTTATCAGGCTAAACACTTCAGAAAGTGTGGGTAAGGCAAACCACACTCGGCCAGATGGTAATCAAACTAGATTTAGAAAAATGCAACAAAACAAGGCTCAAGACAAAAACCTGCCGAACTCTCCACTTTCCACTTTCTCAGCTATCGCTACAAGTACAATTGTGTAAATTCCTATAGTCAGCAGTACCGAGAACATGTACATTTGTTTCCCAAACTAGAGCTCTGAAAGGGCCTCTTCCCATAGCAATGAGTGAAACCAGGGTAAGAGGACCAAGACCTAAGAACAGGTGGATGAGCAGGTTTAAAGAGGCTCATTAAGGTGCTGCACATGCCTGATGCCTGTTGGGAGAAAGGTAACAAGAAGTTGCCAGTGGGCTGTGGTGTGGTTGGAGGGGCCTGATTTGCTCCCAGGACTAGAAAATACTAGATAACGCTGACACCATGAGTGGATGGCAATGGGCTTTAGGTTTGGAATAAGCTCTTCAAGACTAAAATGCTACTGGGTTACTTATGTTAGGGATACGCAAATTTGGCACACCACCTGCTTTTTATAAATAAAGTTTTATTAGAACCCAGCACGTCTGTGGCTGTTTTCCCACCTTCAGTGGCAGAGGTGAGTAGATGCCACAGCTTACAAAGCCTAAACTGTTTTCTATCTGGCACTTTATAGAAAAAGTATACGAAACACAACTTCAACAGTTATTGCGGTCACTGCAATCTTAGCTACTAAGAAAGCTAGTTTCAAAGGACACAAACAAATTACTTAATTTCTCTGCCTCTCTGTCCTCCACTGTGAAATTGGAATACTAATCATACCTACTTCTTTAGACTAATGTGCAGATTAGATGAGGTAACAGGTGTAAAACACTAGCATACTACCTGGACCGTAGTAAATGCTCTACAACTACTGGCTATTGGTTAAATACAACAGTGTTGAACCTGTCCTAATATATGGCGTCCTGGTGTGGAGCTGTAGGATAAGACCTGAACTGCTAACCCAAGATCAGCAGTTTAAACCTACAGGCTGCTCCTTGGAAACCCTCTACAGGGCTGTTAGAAGTCGGAACCAACTTGATGACACTTGACAACAACAATGTAATGTAACTAACTGGGTAGAAGGTCTTGGAATTCTCAGTGGAATTTAAAATACGCCGTAACTCTAAATAAGTGGTGGTCCAGCCATGCAATGGGTCAAAAAGAATGGAAACCAGGTCCAGACAGAGGCTGGTCACCAAGAAGGGATTCAAAACAACAATCAAATACAAAAACAAGCTGTAGAAAGCACATTTTCAACATCAGCTTTTGTAGCAAAAAAGGAGAAAAATTAAGATGATAGTTGTGTTTTCTTGTATACACATTTAAAACAAAACACTAGAAGAATGAAAAGAAAAAAAAAATAATGGTTGGGACTGAGAAGCAGGGAGACTGGGAAGACAGGGAGGACACGAGTGGGAAGGAGTTTTGTTTTTCTTAACAGATTTTTAAATATTTTTTATTTTTGAACCATGACAATGTATTACTTAGGGAAAAATTAAATTTAAAAATGCTGTATCTCAGCGGGGATATGGCAAGGTCTATCAACTGTCTAATTGTTTTGAATAGATCTTGGGTATTTTCTGGTATTAGTACATGAAGCTCTATCTCTATCTTTTTAATGCCCGAAAAGTATGCCGTCCCTGGAGAAGGACATGGTACTTGGGAAAATGGAGAGTCAGTAAAAAAGAGGAGGACTCCCAACGAAGCATACACTGTTAGGAGTATAGGGTTTCTGAGTCTGTGCATCTTTATGGAAGCTTGTGCCCTGGGAAACTGTTAGATGACTTCACATGGACTTAAGGATAAAGACAAAGACATTAAAAATACATGTGACGAGTTGAATGGGAGGGGATTTCCCCCTACCCACTGTGAGTGGAAAAAATACGGATGACACATGTGACTTAAATTAGGCACACATAATTAATGAGAAATCAACAATTAAATATTATCAATTAAAATTGAACTATTTTGACTATTTCACTTTACCACTGCCCAAAATTTATATATTCTAAAGCTTTTCTTAGGCTTTTTCAATAGCTAATATGAATGGCTGCCTCATACCTGGGATTTAGATTCTGCTGTAGAAATCCAGACAGAACAGAAATATACAGACTAAAAAGTAGAACATCTCCCACTCTCCCCTGCCCCATGTAACAGCCAGACCCTTTTCTCTGTGTGTGTAAATATATATTTATAAATATATATAAACATGTACTGGTAGCGTCGTGGTTACGAATCGGGTTGCTAATCTCAAGGTCAGCAGTTTGAAACTACCAGCCGTTCCACAGGAGAAAGATGAGGCTGTCTGCTCCTGTAAAGATTTACAGCCTCGGACACCCTGTACAGGGATGCTGTGAGTCGGGACTGACTCCTCAGTGCATAACCACTACCACTTACCCCGTACCTATTTTTTCACGATTTATTTATTTCACTAAACAAAGTACACCTTGATAGCTCAGCCTCTCCCTTTCAACGGCTACCTCATATTTTCTATTCTAGTATGTGTGTAGCCCGACTGATTGCCATGACTCTCCTTGCGTCTCTGTAGGATAAATCTACAGACATGGAACTGGGCAAACCATAGGACTATTAAGAAAAATGCAGATTTATAATTGGCCTCATAATAAGTCACCTTCAGGTAGATGGCAGAATTGGTAGACTGAGACAGGCTGAATACTAACAGTATAAAACTTTTATACAAAAACTTACCAAGTGTGCATTAAAAAAAAGGTTAAAGAATGGGTAAAAATGTTTGTGACAAACATGAAAACAGACTATTGCCAGGAACCCTATAATAAAAGTGGCAATAAAACCAAACCCAAACCCCACTGCTATCAAGTTGATTCCGACTCATAGCCACCCTGTCTGTATAGGGTTTCCAGAGCTATAGATCTGTACAGAAGCAGACAGCCTCATCTTTCTCCCACAGAGTGG